CAATAAATTATAACCATTAGATTGACGGAAATCAATGGTGATTAAGTTAGTTGTAAAGGTTGTAAACTTTTTTTGTGGTAAGTATATCTTTCCCCATTATGTTTTACTGATTGAGAAAATTATATTTGGTTTTACTTTTCTTAATAATTTCATTGTATTTCTTTGTTATTTTTTTTTATGGGAAAGATTATACTTACAACCTATTTTTGTCTACAACCATATCTTAACCGTTGATTTCCGTTAATTAATAGTTATTATTTTCGCAAATCAAACTTATTAATTAATATTTAATTTACAATGAATGATAATCGTTGATTGACAGGAATCAACAGTTAAGATATAGTTGTAAAATGTTGTAAACAAAAATAGGTTGTAAGTATAACCTTTTCCTTTTGTATTGACTCTTGTAATTTTGAATGTTTGTTAAAAATTTATATGATTTTTTAAAATCTTATAAATCCATATTGTCCTTTCAAATCTTATGAATTCTATTAAAATCCTTTAAACTCCAATCCTATGAAACCTTGATTGTAAAAAAAAGTCTTTTAAAAAAGTCTATAAATTCTCTCCAATTCCAAAATGTCATTTAAAATATGTAGGATTTTTTTATCTCAAAAAGGTTTTTTAAAATTCTAATCCAATACACCCTCTTAGACTCCTAGAAACTTCACTAATATTGAAAAAATAAACTGATGACTAAAAATAAAAAGAAGAAAAATTAGTCCAAATATGCTGGAAAGGGCTAAGCCCCTAGAGAGAGATTTCTTTGTTTAAAAACAAATTAACCAAATACGCTTTAAACGATATGATACATATATATGGGCTTATCATTTCTCAAGCTGCTTGAGACAATGTTATCTCCGGCTACTAAATCATAACCATACAAAGATGGATCAATGGTGATAAATGAAGAGAGAGAAAAAGGGAATCATAACCATTCAAAGGTGAATCAATTAATATAAGGAAATAAATAAACAAAACGACGTAGTTTTGGGATGGCCGGAGATAACATTGTCTCAAGCAGCTTGAGAAATGATAAGCCCACACACACATATATATATATAAGGGTAAAATTAATCTTATGTTGCATAAGATAGTATACCTCATGTTGTGAAACAAAATCAGTGTGGGACTCACTAAAAAATAAAAAATAAAAAAAACCAAGATGGGACCCATCTTGATTTTGTTTCACAAAATGAGATATACTATCTTATGCAACATAAGATTAGTTTTACCCTATATATATATATATATATATATATATATATATATATATATATATATATATATAGGGATAGGATATTGTGACACTCAAGTTATGTTACACCTATGTGACACCCAGTCAATCTCACCGTTAGATCGCTTATGTTGATCCAACGGTTATATTTATTTCCATCTTTGTATGGTCATGATTCCCAAATTTAATATTTTATATTTATTTCTACCTTTGTATGGTTATGATTTCCCATATTTAATGCTTTCACTTTAAATTTGGGAAATCATGACCATACAAAGATGGAAATAAATATAACCGTTGGATCAACATAAGCGATCTAACGGTGAGATTGACTGGGTGTCACATGGGTGTAACATAACTTGGGTGTCACAATATCATATCCCATATATATATATATATATATATATATATATATATATATATATATATATATGGGATAGAATCCATTGACACCGGTGTCAAATTTTGAAATTTGACACCAAATCCTAACTGTTGATTTTCGTCAATCAACGATTATCATTTATTGGCAATTAATGATTAATTAATAAGGGTAATTCCCAATAAATGATAACCGTTGAATGGCGGAAATCAACAGTTAGGATTTGGTGTCAAATTTCAAAGTTTGACACCGGTGTCAAAGGATCCTGCCCCTATATATATATATATGACTTTAATATTTCTACAGTGAATGTAGATAAGTTATCTACATTCGCTCCCAAAACGACGTCGTTTTGGGTTGAAAAATTAAAAAATTATAACGAAAAAGACTATTATAACCCTGAAATACATTATAATTACAAAAATAGCATGATTTCCATCTCAAAACGACGTCGTTTTGAGTTCAATGTAGATAAATTATCTACATTGACTGTAGAAAAAGCGAACCCTATATATATATATATATATATATATATATGTGTGTGTGTGTGTTAATTTAGTAAATAGAATTGTGAGTTAAAATTATGTGCGTAAAGAATTAAGAAGCTCCTTGCACGTAATAAATCTTAATATGTTGTATAAGTTCTTATATTTTTAATTAATAATTGATTATGTATAATTTTTTATAATTATAAATATATTGAAATATTAACAACTTATAACTTGAATAAATAATATATTTATTTATTTGTATATTTGTAAATAGTCTCTTACTTTTTAATTTAACTAGTAGAACTAAAGAGTTAAATTTGATTTTGTTTTCCTTAAAATTCAATTATAAATGGATATCAAATTTTATCTTTCCTTTTCTTTACTAAATCGAATGACCTTAACCATTAAATTAAAATGAAGCCAATAGTTAAATATTAGTTATAAATAAAAAAAAGTTTGACCTAATATAAATAAGAAAAATTATATTCATGTTGCATGAAATTCATCTCTCATGTTACACTTACATAAAAAGATGTGCTTCTCTTTTTTTTTTCCTAAAAATTGGTGAGTCTTATTTTGTTTGTCTTAGAACATAAGATAACTTTTATCCTACTATAGGAGAGAAGTAAAGCTCTATAGATAAATCTCCTCCTGTATATATATATATATATATATATATATATATATATATAACATTTTTAGAATTAAAAATTGTTTCCCGTATTCATTGCCTTGTGAAGAAAGATGCGTACTTTTGGATTTTAAATTTAGTAGTAGGGATGTTCATCAACCGATCCAAACTGATTTAAACTACGGTAACGAAATCGAAAAACGGATAACCGAATAAATCGAAAATCGAAAAACTGAAAAATTGGAAGAAAAAAAACCCAAATTTTAATTGGATTGGATCGGTTTTCGGATTGGTTGATGAAAATCGATCCAATCCAAATCCATCCAATATATTAATTCCTTTCTACCTACTTGGGTCTTTTCCCAATCATAACCCAAAAATTTCTAAACTCAAGACCCATTAATCCATTAATTAAACCCAAGAAAAAGCCTAGTCACATATCATCAATAAAATTTTATCTATGTAGAGCTTCATATCTCATTATCCCACAAAAAAACTATATTATCATTTACTAATACTTTTGTATTTCAAACAAAAAAATTTATAAAGTCAATATATACAAAAGATGTTATTTGCACAATAATCATGAAACAAATTTTAAGATTTTCAAAAAACCGATCAAATCCAAACAGAAAAAAATTGGATTGGATCGGATCAGATTTGAAAAAAAAAACCCAAACCGAATAGATAATTATATGATCAAATTGAAGGGATTGAATCAGATGATTTTTGCTTCTAAAATCAATCCAATCTAGACCGCGAACACATCTCTTTAATAGTGTATAACTATGAAGCACCGACACTTCAAAAACCCTGATGTGTCGTGTCCGACACTTTCTGACACTCCCCGACACTCCAACACGCGTTGTAGAGACTCAAAAAAAGATTCAAATATTGCGTTTTTTGTTGCAATTATTAGATTCGTTGGATTACTATTATCATTTTATTGAGTTTAATATAAATATTTGGGATATCTTATGTTTCTTTACAAAATTGATGGGTATTATAAGTTTAACTTTATTTTTTGAGTAAAGACCATTTTTGATCCCTAACAAAAAACACGGTCTCAACTTTAGTCCCTCAGAAAAATAAATTAGTCAGTTAGTCCCTAACAAATTCAAGGTGGACCCATTTTAGTCCTTTTGAAGGACTAATACGGGTCTTTTTTGAATTTGTGAGGGACCACGATTTCAACTAAATGGGTCAATTTTGAATTTGTTATGGACTAACTGATTAATTTATTTTTGTAAGAGATTAAAGTGGGGACCGTGTTTTTTGTTAGGGACTAAAAAAGGTATTTACTCTTATTTTTTATTAAATTATTGAGTATTAAATATAATATACATTACATAAATTAAAAATAATATTTAATATCAAAACGTGTCCGAACGTGTAAAAATTTAACATTTTTTAAAATTAACCTATCAGAGTATCGTATCTCGTGTCCCGCGTCCGTATCGGTGCTACATAGCTGTATAACAAACATGTATTCATACAATCAAATAACCAGTTTGATTGCATGAATATGCAAATTTTTTGGGTGTACGTGTCGAAACGGCTTGCATAAAACAAGTGATTTTTTTTTAATTACATAAAAGGTCTTATATTTCTTATTTTGAAGGAAATAAAAGTATCTCTTAAGTATATAAAAGTATGAGGTTTATATGGGGCCATATAAAAAAAAGAAAAAAAATATGAATTATATATATGAATTTTATTAATCTCATATTAAAGGAGATAAGTTATCTCATATCATAGAGATAAATTTGTAGGCTCCACCATCTGAAAAATAAAAAGAAAAGAAAAGAAAAGAAGAATGTGACACAATTATTGAAGGGTGTGTAGGAGAGAAAGTTATCACATGTAACATAAGAGTAATTTTTCTCTATATAATATAACGATAATAATATAAAATAATATAAGATGGATTAAACAATTAAACAAGTGACTTTTCTACAGCGTGAAGAACATAATAATTCAATTAATATCAGGACCTCGATATGGACCAAGTCTGGTACTGACTCAGCAGCCTTTACTTGCTTCAGTCAATGTATCTCGACGCGTTGAACTTTGACACTGATAACCCATTCGCTCCTCCATTGAAATTGCCCACATTTTCAATTCAAATACACTGCAGACACACACACACACACTCACACTCTCACTTTGTCTTTGTGCGTATTCAATTTTAATCACTTTCTTTAATCAACAAAATCCACTTTCCACGCAACATCTTCTAAACTTCCTCATTCATTCATATAAAAACCCACTCCACTACCTCCTCTTTCCCACACCCAAAATCGCAATTCCACTTTCCACAACCAAAACACACACACTCTTAATTCTCTCGTCAGTCCAACCTTTGTAACCGACAGTGAACTAAATGGGTGTGCTGAGCGAAGACCCGAACCCGAAACCCATCGTGATCCGTGATGTATGGGCCTCCAATTTAGAATCCGAATTCAAACTCATCGGCGAACTCATTGACCGTTACCCTTTCATCTCCATGGACACCGAGTTCCCCGGCGTCATCTTCCGCCCCCACAATCACCACCACCACCACCGCCTCCGCCCCTCCGATCACTATCGCCTCCTCAAGTCAAACGTCGACGCCCTTAACCTTATTCAGGTCGGACTCACCCTCTCCGACGCCGCCGGCAACCTTCCCGACCTCGGCACCGCCGAGAACCGCTTCATCTGGGAATTCAACTTCCGTGACTTCAATGTAGCGCGTGACGCCTACGCTCCGGACTCCATCGCCCTGCTCCGCCGCCAGGGGATCGATTTCGCCCGCAACGCCGCCGCTGGCGCCGACTGCACCCGATTCGCGGAGTTGATGATGTCATCAGGACTCGTCTGCAACGAATCGGTGAGTTGGGTCACGTTCCACAGCGCGTACGATTTCGGGTACCTAGTGAAGATCCTGACCCGACGGAACTTACCGACCCGGTTGGAGGAGTTTTTGAGCATAGTGAATGTGATCTTCGGAAACAGCGTTTATGACGTCAAACACATGATGCGGTTCTGTGAGACACTCTATGGCGGTCTGGACCGGGTTGCCCAAACACTCAACGTGGACCGGGCGGTTGGGAAGTGCCACCAGGCCGGTTCGGATAGCTTGCTGACGTGGCACGCGTTTCAGAAGATTAGAGACACTTATTTTGTAAAAGATGAGCATAAAAAACATGCCGGCGTGTTGTATGGGTTAGAGGTGTTCTTTTTCTGTTAATTAAAAAAAAGTTTAAGTATAAATAAAAATTGAATTGATTATTTTTATTTTATTTTTGTATAGTAATGTGATTACTACTTTACTTTGTCTTGTTTGTGTTGGCCTGCTACTTATAAAAATCCCAAGATTTGATTGAACGCCTTATCATTAAGTGTTAATTCGAGTATTTTTGGTTCAGATGTTTCTTTTTCATTTAAATTTGATCATTGAGGAATGACTTGGATTCAAGTAATCCTAGCTTACTCAGTGCATCCATCCATAGTTTCACCCAATTTTTGCATTAAAATTTGGGGGGGAAATATTATTATTTTCATATCTCAATTTTTTCTTGAAAGGGGAATTTTCATTTGATGATTGTTGGATATCTTTGTTTGAACCTAAAAAATGTGTTTTAAATACAAATTAAAACTTAACAATTTAATGCAAACCCAATGTAATTAGCACACGAGGACTCATTAATTTGTCAACTCAAATTAATCAATATTTGAATATGCCCGATAATAAAAATGAAGGAAGTTTGTTTCTTGAATGGGCAAAATATGTTGATCTAATGACTAAGGAGGCAATGATATGAACCAAAGCTTTTAAGAGTTATTGTACTAGCCTAAGGTAAATTGAGAGTGTGAGGGGAAGGAGCATTGGACTCGGTTATGACTATGGTAGAAGTTCAGCATAATAACGACTAACTTAAATGATGGAGAAGATGATCCATTTTGGTGAGGCAAAACCATCTATTTATAGGGTAGAGGAGATTCATTTTAACATGGGAAGTGTGATGTCATAATTGTTTCAGTCATGTGGACCTCACTATGATGTGAGGTTGCATGACCCTTGATGTGCAAAACTCAAGAATTTGTTGGAAATGTAGGGGAACACGTGTAATAAGGGGTCTCATGCTCCACATTATTAGTGCTTAAGGCATGGTCGGCCAGCCAATTGAGCTAACTGGACAAGGCCATCCAGTCGGTCCAAAATAATATGTTCTCTATTAGGTTGATTCTCAATAAGCAGCCACAGTACATGATTGTGTAATAATTTGTCCATATCATAATTAATCATCAATAATCATAGCTCAGATTCCATTAAGTGATTAAGTCTTTCTTACTCATTTTAACTCATTACATGTTGTTTCTGCAGGAAGTATTCGAATACTCCACGAGTAGTATTTGAATACTCCAGCTCCCCAGAAAGTATTCGATTACTTTCACTAAAGTATTTGAATACCATCTTTGTTGTCACAAAATAAGTTCATAGGTTCCGTACACCCAATTCATAGATCTTCCAACATTTGTTTGATCCATAAGAGTTCACATAGGCCTTGTAACATTCCTCTAAATTTAGCTTCAGCACTTGATCAAGCCACAACCTTTTTATTTTTTACTCCTCTAAGTAACAAGGTTTCCATCTACGAGAGTCAAGTAGCCTGAGGTAGATCTCCTGCCAAATCTGCGTAAGTATATCCTTCTACAATGAATGTCGTATTCTTTGTAAACAATAGTCCTCTTCCTGGGCACCCTTCAAGTATCTCAAGATTTTGTACACAGTATTCATGTGATATTCATTTGGGGTATGCATAAACTAACTAACTACACTTACTGCATATGCAATGTCTGGCCTGGTATGGTAAGGTAAATTAAATCTCCCCACTAATTGTTGGTAACGACCTTTGTCAACCAAATTTTCTCCAATGGACATCTTAAGCTGATGATTCATCTCCATCGGTGTTTTAGCAGGTTTGCAAGCTAACATTCCACTTTCAGTTAACAAATCCAATACATATTTTCATTGGGAGAGAGAAATACTTTGCTTTGAATGTGAGACAATCCCTAAGAAGTATCTTAATTGCCCCAAGTCTTTAATCTCAAATTTAGTTGCTAAGTATGTCTATAGTCTCTTCATTTCTTCCGGATCATCACCTGTTAGGACCATATCATCCACATATACAATCAATGTGGTCACCTTCCTTTTCTTTTCTTAATGAATAAGGTGTGATTAGATTTGCTTTGCTCATAACCTACTACCTTCATTTCTGCTGTGAACCTTCCAGACCATGCTCTTGGGGATTGTTGCAACACATACAAAGATTTCTTCAATTTACAGACCTTGCCTTCATGTATAGGTTTTTGTTTTACACCTGGAGGAAGCTCCATATAAACCTCTTCCTCTAAGATTCCATTTAGGAAGGCATTCTTACATCAAATTACTGTAAAGGCCAATCCCAGTTAACAATAATAGATATGAGAATACATACAGTGTTATGTTTAGCCACTGGGGCGAAGGTTTCCTGATAGTCAACTCCGTACTTCTGTGCACATCCTTTTGCTACTAATCTTTGTTTATACCTGTCAATATTTTGATCTATTTTAAGTTTCATAGTGTACACCCATTTACACCCCACTGTTCTTTTTCCACTGGGTAAAGAGGCAAGTTCCCAGGTTGAATTTTTTTGTAGGGCCTCCATTTCTATATTCATTGCCTCCTTTTTTTGTAGGCTCTCCTACCTTATAGTTTCACCTCAAAAGCTAGCCCAAAAGATAGGAGAGCTCAAAGTCCATATAAATCCTACATTAGTCACTCATATAACTAATGAGGGACTCAAGTCTCATACTTTGTAAATAGGTCATAACATAGAGATGCATACCGAGTGTTGGACCCTATAAATGTAGAAAGAGTGAATTGTGAATTGTGAATTTCATGCATGTGAGTCCATCCCGAGGCAACGAAGGCAATTAGAAGAAACTTGTCCATTTGTCGTGGAAGCTTTATCAAGGTGATAAGACACGTGTCTACACCAACCTAAAAACTAAGGGGGCGTTTGATAGAGAAGAAATTTTTTATTCCCAATATGCTAGGAAAGTGAGTTTTTTGAGAATGTGACCAAAATGTTGTTTGGTAGGTCAAAATATTACCTATAATATTGGCTGAAGTTCACTGATTCTATGTTTAGTTGATTGTGAAATATTACTGGGAATGTAAGGTTATTTTACAAAAATAACCCCACCTTCATTATTTTATTGAAGCACAATTTACATAGTGTTTTTTACACACAGGTTTTTTATCTGGGTTTTCTTCACCCACCTTCATTCAAACACGATTTTCTTTGGTCCCTGGGTTTTCTTCAACATCTCCCCTAACACTTCAAATGTTGTCTCTATCATAAGACTTGATTGTGTTTTGGATGAAAAGGAATTGAGATGAGTGGAACAAGAGAGTGCAGTTGTCAACACACCGTTCATTGTTCATCGACAACAAGGACCTTAGACACGCAAGCATTCAAGTTCAGGTCTTTGTCTTCTTTTTTGTCTTTCAACGTGCCATTTCTGATCATTTTGCTCTCTGTTATGTGCACTCTTTATCTCTCATGTGTTGGTTCCCTAACACTCTTTATTCGTGTGGAATCATTGGGGAGGAGATCCCTTTAACTCTTCTATTTTTTCTATTTACATATGGGATTCATTGTTCATTACTTCAGCTACCACCATTTGTTGGTATATCCCATGTAAACCTCAAAGTTTGTTTCTTTGAGCTTTATGAGGCAGTTTTATTACCTGGGCATTGTTTTCTCTATTTCTTTTTTAGTTTTTGTTTTGCCTTTCATTATTCTGGGTCTGAGAAAAAACATATGAAGTTTGTTATGATGGAAAGGCTTTTGATTGCAACTGTAGTTCAATGTTTTGGACGGTCGTGTGTTTTAATAATTTTTCATGTGATTTTTGTTGTAGGGGGAATATTCATTGTTTGCAAACAACATCAACTTTGATCGAATGTAGCATGGGTGGAGATGTGACTGGCATATGTGGGTGTGAAAGTGTATATTTCGGGCATTTTTCATCTTCATCCTCATCGAAGGTGAAGATGTGCGATTGTGGAATGAGGGTTGTGTTGCGGAAGTCTTAGACAACAAGGAATCTAGGAAGGAAAGTTTTTGGATGTCCTAACTTCGAAACAAGTGAGAAGTGTAATTTCTTTGAGTGGCTTGATGAACCCACTTACTCTAACTACAAAAAGAATAATAATTTGTTGAAACTATTGGTGGTTTTGCTAATTGTACATCAAATAATACTTGGGATTGTCTTATATAAGATGTAAAAATCTTGTTGAGTTGTAATTTAATGGTATGCTGAATTTTGTGCATTACCAAGTTGTAATGGTATGTAGAGTTATAATTTTGTTGAGCCTTAATGATGTAGAAGCGTTTGATGTAGCATATGATTTCCAAAATATGTTGGTAGTATAACTCTACACATTACTCTGTTTCTGTGGGATTATGTCATGTATGTATGTTTATTGTAGTTATTAATTTGTACTGGCCTACAGAGCTTTCTGATTGCGTTCTTCAAATGTCCGTTCATAGAAGCAAAGAGTTAATATAGTTCTAGTTGTTGCTCCTGCTCTTACCTATCTTCGTGAAGAATGTGATAGGTAAATCATTTATAACTTTGAGTTCTTTAATGTTTTCTAAATTTGGCTCAGAACAAGGTGATGGTGACCACATGAGTGATAAAAGCATATTTTATGACCATGTGATCATGTCTATCTACCTTTTTGATAATTACTATGGTGATGCAAAAGACATTTTTGGGAACCCAATCTGTGGCAGGTTCCCATATATGATAAGAATGGCCGAATAATATTGCAAGTAAAATAATTGCATTAATTGCGTGTTACCATTATGTCCAAAATATGAGTTGTTCCAATTATGTTAGTCATTGCTTGGCATCAATATGGCTATATGCTATAATTCCTGAATACATTATCTCTTTCTGCTTACTAATTGGATTTCTATATTTCTAGGTGTTATGTCTTTTTTCCCCTTTCCTCCATTACGAAATATATTTGTGTTTATGTGTACTTAACTTTGTTGTCAATATCATCATTTAGGATCTTCCCTTGAAGTTTTTCAAATTAATTATATAGGATATATTGCAGACATTTATTTTCTCTATTTCTACATTACAAATTTATAAATATTTTTGTCTCATGCTGATAATTACTCTACAAAACTACAAGAAGGTTGCATTGTTGA